GCTGATTTGAAAGACCTTTGTTTATATATACTTTGGACTCCTATCCCTACATGAAAGGGGGTTCCCCTATATTAATGAAGCTGCTCCTCATGATGTCCTCTGAAAAACTAATCTCAAGTCTCAAGTGAGGCACAACAAATATAATCACACAACACAGTTAGCTTAACAACAACGAAGAAGATCATCTTGAACACTAAGATGATGGTTTTCACTTCTTTCACTAGTCCCCTCTTCAAACAATACCTAGGAATCTCCTCTGAAATGACTGTCAAAAAAGTCAGATGCAAAAAGGCAACAAGAAATCACGTCAATAAACACCAAATTGGTCCTGATGTCTCTTTTCAGTCCCCTGGATGCTTTAATTTTGTTTCAGTCTTCTGCCCAAATGTTTCTCCTTGAATGAATTTGTGGTTTGGAATGGATAATAATCAACAAACCAGCAGAAAAAACAGTATCATCCTGATGATGAAGACAACAGTGGGAATTTACCGTTTCATCAGGTCTATATCTACAAAATGTGCAGATTCAGAAGTAGAGTCCAATACTTTGAAATTGTATTTTAAGGTAACCATGTGTTGATTAAAAGAGCCCTGGTGGCACAACAGTTAAGCATTCATCTGCTAACTAAAAGATCAGTGGTTTGACTCCACTAGCCACTCCACGCAAGAAAAGACCTGGCTATAAGCTCTTATAAAGACTGCACCCTAGGAAACCCTATGGGGCAGTTCTATTTTGTCTTATAGGGGTCCTATGAGTCAGAATCAACTTGACAGCACACAACAATGTGTGTAGATTAAACTATTAGTCCCCTAGTAGGATTACACATTTACACCTTTGTTCTAGCCTCACTGTGTGTGAATATACTTATCACCCCTTGACTTTCCATTGAGCCAAGAGACTTGCTGCTTCAGTTAACAGGCTATCAGCAGACATGATGCCAGCAGTGGCTTAAGATGTGCTTACATGCTTGTACCTTCGCTATGACTATAAGAAGAACAAGCTCCAGAGAGCCACACGGTATAAAAGGGATGAGAAACAAGCAGAACAGACCTGGGTGCCACCAAATATCAATCCAAGCCTGGACATAGAAGACTGGACAAGTCAACTCCCAACCAATAGGCAGGCACATGCATGAGGGAAAATAAATGGCTCTTGTTCTAAGCCACTGAATTGGGTGCATTTTATGAAGTCTGGTGGTGCAGTGCCGAAGGCATTTAGCTACTAACCAGAAGGTTGGTGGTTCAAACCCACCAGCCATTATCACAGGAGGAAAATTAAGCAATTTACTTCCACAAAGATTTACCACCTTGGAAACTCAGTGGTGGTCACTATGAGTCAGAATTGACTTAATGGCAGTGGGTTGGTTTGGTTTCATTTATTGAAACAATCAGTGACTAATGAAAACTTAGACAGCAGAAATTTGGAAAAGATCACACAAACTGCAAAGGCACCAATTCACTGACTAACCATCCCTCTATCCAGTAAATTTTCAAAGAATATTTTCCCCAAAAAAAATCTAAGAAGACCTCTTCTGCACCTCAGCCCTCAGATACTGTTTTCCAATAAGTAATGAAGATGGCCCTTTAAAATATCAGACATGAACAGAAAAGAAGTACAAATTTAAAGCAAAAATATGAACAGAGAAAACTAAAATGGGCTTGCAAGGTCAAAAGAAGGGAAAAGTTTGAAATCTCATTAGCCTTTCTCATAAACTTCGTAATACCTAGCACATGACACATTTTTTCTTCTCATCTGAAAAATTATATATAAAGAGATTCATGAAAAACTGAATTGGAATTGGAGGAGGATTAAACTTTAGTGAGCCCTGAATCACCTTATAAGAAAAAGTAAGAAGTTGTTCAGAAGTTTCAAAAATGAGACAGACTCTCAATGTGGGCATCTTTGCAGGGACGATATAAAATCTCAACTACAGTCATAAGGAGACACTCCATAGCCGCAGAAGAAATGAAGCTTAAATTGTTCAAATGACTGTTGCACTGCCCCTAATGACTCTTCACAAACAGTTAAACATATGATTTCTTTTTTCTTTAAATAGAGATTTTGGCAATTTTATCCAGAAAAAGTATGCACAAATGACTTGAGCTTCATAAATTAGGATCTGCAACACTACTTGTTAGAGTGAATATAACTAAAACTATGAAAAATACTTTTATCTTTGACAATGTTTATTCCACACCTAACTATTCTGAATTACAAGTTAGATTTCTGTTTACTTTCTTGCACCAAAATCTCTCAACAAAGAAACACTGAGGAAGCACATCAGAAGGGGAAAAAAGCCTAAACACCAAAGTCCTCATTCATTGCATTGTTTCCTGTAGCTTGAAAGATTATCTCTTGGGCCATCATGTCTCACTATATCTAGAGCCTCAGCACAATATGACTTCATAGAAAACAGTGTTTCTAATCCCCAGAGCAGGACAAATTGCCTAAACAGTACAAGGAGAACTTGGCTGATGCAATCCCTGCTCTCTGAGGACTGTTAGACACAGAATCTAACACTTATTTCAGGTTGTTAAAAATCTACCCTCATGAAAGAGTGACTGGTTCCCCATTTTCATGTGAAGGGGAATCCAAGTTAGGATTCTGCCAAGTGTTTAGTTAAATCACATCTGTCTAGCCTCATCAGTATTAGATCTAGATTTTATTCCTTTGAGAAAGACTCACCTCAGCAGACCTCAAAACAAATTTCAGGTTCAATAGCTTTTGAATCGCCTTCTCTCATGCACAGTAAGGCAGATGCTACCAAAGAACAAAATTTGAATTTGAACCTCAAACTTCATGCAGCTAACGCTCAATAGATGACAAAAGTTTTCTACCAACTCAGTAGAAAACAAAAACATAAACAAGTATTTGAAAGTACTCACTGTCATTGAGTCAGATCCGACTGATAGTGACCCCTCCTTGGGTTTCTGAGGAAGTACACTACAGAAGTAGATTGTCCAACCTTCCTTCCAAGGAGTGGCTGGTGGGTTTGAACCTCCAGCCTTCCGGTTAGCAGTCAAATGCCTTAGGCACTACACAACCAGAGCTCCTATTTGAAAGTAGAAAGTATGAAAAATGGAAGTCCTAAAAAAGACCAGGTGTACTGGTTTGACAGAGCCTGGTGAGATCCCTGAGACAATGGCCCCTACTTACCCTTCAAGTCTGAACTGAACTCACTCCTGTGGCTTCCAGTCAAACAATAGACAGGCAAATAGGGTGAACATTTACATATTTACATCAGGAAGATACACTCCTTGGAGCAATCAATGGTGAGAGAACAGAAGGGCAGTGTTTGTACAGGGAGATAGGTCAGGGGGTGGGAGTGCATAGGAGGGAAAGACACAGGAAGAAGAAACTACAGGGAGGAAGTGGGAAGAGCTGCTACATTGTAAGGAATTGCAGTCAATGTTATGAAACAAAATGTGTATGAACTGTTGTATAGAAAATGAATTTGCTCTGTAAACTTTCACCCAAATCACAATAAATATTTAGAAAAAAAAAAAAAGAGGAAGTCCTTACTAACCATCTTTCACAATGAGTCTTGCGAGAAATTTAGACAATCACTGTCCAGTCTTCAAGACATAAAGGAAAAATTCTGATAGGAAATTCTAGTTTAGAAATTCCTGAAAACTAGCCATGCTATATAAGCATACTCTACAATATGGGCATGAGAAGTCTTTATTTTAATTAATGTATCAGTTTAACCAAAGTGGAAAGGCAAAGTAGATATCCTTGAATAGTAGAGTTCTACTATTTGCTGAGGAGCTCTGGTGGCATAATGCCTAAGGCATTTGACTGCTAACCAGAAGGCTGGCAGTTCAAACCCACCAGCCACTCCTCAGAAGGAAGGTTGGGCAATCTACTTACGTAGTGACACCGCCTCGGAAATCCAAGGAGGGGTCGCTATGAGTCAGATCCGACTCAATGGCATTGAGTTTGGTTTGGCTTGGTTTAGTATTTGCTGAGTCAAAAATGAAAAATTGCAACAAGTGACAGCAAACATCTTAAGTATCAATATAACCAGTATGTGTTAAAATACACACAGCAATAATGACTAATAGCTCCCATTCCTATTCCTTCAAATTCAAACCAGATCCCACCCTCAAAAGAGTCACAAATCAGATCCACTGATCCTACCTTAAGCAAAGCACACAATTGTCATGTTTAAGGGAAAAAAATAGGTACAAAGTCATAACAGACTAAGACACCTTTTATAGTCCTTACTTTCAAGATATTTTGGGTTTCATTCCACTTGTTTGTCCATTCCTTGGTCAGTTCTTGAACCTAAAAGGAAAAATATGCATATGTGATTGCTCCATGAAAAACTGTTTTTCTAATAAATTTTCAAACTCTTATAACTTAAGGAAGAATGTACTATAATTATTTTTAATTAAATATTGATTTCCACCCTTGAAAGAATCATCACCAAATATGTATTGAAACAAGCTGATCTCACCCAGCATCTTACATTATATCAAAGGAAAGAACAGACAAAAAACCTGTCAAATTGCCTAGAGTTTTAAAAATTGTCATTTTCACAGTGTACTAAAATAAAAGCTACTTCTCTGGATATTAACCAAAATTATAAGGTCAAGAATGATAGCATCCCATTAAATGGGTTAATGTTTACTGACTATACTTTAGGTCCAAAGAAACAGTGATTTACTTTTCTCTCTAATTAGATGTGGTAATGATTAAATCACCCTGGACACTGCAGTTTTCTCTTAGAAGATAAGCTGCTTTTTGTAGCTAATGAATAGAGCTTATAAATTTCATTCCATCTTAAAAAAAAATTTAAAGGTGGTTTTTTAATTGGTTCTTCAGATAAAAGCAAAAACCTTGATAAAAATTAGCTTTTTCCAGTCTGCTGTAACTTGGGGGTAAAAATATTCCCAATTGTTGATCACAGACCAGTTGGAAATTCCTTCTCCAAGTTAATAGGAATATTCTGATAATAATATAAAACTTTTGAAATGATCCATCCCGGTGTCACAATGGTTAAAAGCACTTGATTGCCAACCAAAAGGTCAGCAAGTCAATCTACCCAGCGGCTCCACAGGAGAAAGAACCTGGCAATGTGCTCCCTTAAAGATTTCAGCCTAGGAAACCCTATGAGGCAGTTCTACTCTATCATAAAGGATCACTGTGAATCAGAAACAACTCGATGGCACATCATTACTACCATAGATATTAATTAAGAAGCAAAGTGTGATGCCTGAGTCAGGAGGTGAAAAAGCAAGCAATGAAAAAATGTATTCTGTGGATAAGAATTTACCTAGGACTAAAAGAGAAGAGGGAGCCCTGGTGGTAAATGGTTAAGCACTCAACTGCTAACCAAAAGGTCTGCAGTTCAAACTTACTAGCTATTCCATAAGAG